TTGTAATTGGTTCCCTCTTTCCAACCCACTCTCCCTCCACCCTCCCAGTGGGATATGAGTCTTGTAATCACTGTTAAGTATTAAATGTAAAAAAGGGGATACATGCTTAATGGTATACCTTATAAAAATCTTAAACTTAACTTCAGAAAAGATTAAATAAATGACATAAACATATGCAATTATTTCTAATGAACCCCTGATCCCTATTCCTGTCAAATTCAACAATTATGCCTGAATTTATACATGGAAGGGCTAAGTTTGGATGTCACCCCAGATCCTCCTATGCCCACTGGCAGAAGTGTTCATGAGAAAGCCACCTTTAGTTGGATCTCAGCACACAAACCTAAATGTCTGAGCCACCCCAGCCATCCTTTAGCTATTGTAATTGACTGGGCTCGTTGGTGTGTTTTCTTAGGAGCCGTGGAGTATGCAGCACATCCCAGCACTCTTTTCAGCCTTCTGTAGCCTTTTGGTCGCTGTTTCCTATCACCTGAGCAGGCAGAGCAGTGACCCATCTGTACTGATGTGAGTATTGGGTCACCCCTTCATTCCTAGCTCATTGTGGTTGGGATCTTTTACGATTGAATTAGCTAATCACTGGGGGTGTGGGTGGGGGGAATGGGGACCAGAATCTAATTAAAACCAAAGATCAATTTTCAGCTGTCTTAGTGAAAGCACTGGATTGACTTTTCTTTAACAACTAAAGCAAAATGTTGTTTGGAAAGAATTCTTGCATTTCATGAAATGAAGATACATGTCATCTTATTGGAAAATTCATACTTGGCCTTCCTTGTGTGAAAAACAATTTTTATTTGATAAAATAAACAATGGGAAACATTTCATACTATAGAGAAATATAGGGGGGGTGGGAGACATTTTACAAGGAATTGTCAAATCACACAATTTCTTAATGGTATCTATTAATTCCTTATCTCCTGATACAATTTGATTGAAGTAATATTTTTAAAGTACCTGTGCAAACATTTTGATATGGAAGGTCTTGCGATCAAATTTAAGTCAGATAAATTCAACTTTGACATCCTTGAAATTAAAAAAAACCTGATTCATTCAGTTAATAAGAAGAGAAGATTGAATCAAATCTCATCTAATGTCTTTGAAATTAAAAATACTGTTTACCTGGCTAAGGGGAAATGATGCTGATTTAGACAATTCACCTGGTGATTCAAGGAACAGTTAAGATAGAATTTTTAACAAGAATGAAATGATTCTTCATCAAGGTCTGAAATTCTGATTCTGTGTTCTTTGCTATTAACAGTAACAATTTGACAAAGGAAAGGCTGCATGGCTTCCTTTGAAAGGTAGAAATGACAAGCAATCCAATTTTTAAAACGGACAAAGGACACAAACAGATATTTTGCCAAAGAAAACATTCAGACAGCCAAGAGCCCCTGAAGAAATGCTTCAGATCAGTAGCCACGACAGAGATGCAAATTGAAGGAATGCCGAGACATCATTTCACCCTAGTAACAATAGGACGGTACCATAGGAAAGAAAACAATAAGCACTGGCAAGAGGGTAGAGAGGTTGGAACTGCTGGTGCAATCACTCCACAAAATGGAATGTGCTTCCTTGAAAAGTTGACACTATAAATATAATTTGGTTGTTACCTTATTACTGAGGAGTCTTGGTAAGGGTGGACTGCTAATCACAAGATTAACCAGAGAAAGATAATCTGCTAGATTAAGGATTTACAAATCCTTGGAAACCTTATACAGAATCACTGTAAATTGGGATTGACTTGATGGTAGTGAGTTTATTTTTTAGGGGGCTTATCTCACTACTAGATATAAATCTTAAAGAAATAGGAGCTGGGACTCAGACAGATATGTGTACACTCGTGTTCATTTTAATATTATTCACAGCGGCAAAGAAATGGCAAGTGCCCTTCACGGGATGAATGAATAAAGTATGGCACATGCATATGATGGAACAGTGTGCCTGCTTAAACATTAATGAAGATGCAACGAAACACTTTTACTGAACGTCTACATTAAGAGTAAAGTGGACGAGACTCGAGGACATTATGCTGGTGCAAAATAAGTCAATCACAAGAGGATAAATATAGTATGAGTTCACTATTATACAGCCACTTTTTTTCCTACTTCATTGGACCATGGAAGCTTGCATGATTCTGTGATTCTGGAAGCTATGTCACTGGTATTGCAAAGAACAGCCAGGTCACCCAAAGTGAACAGGTGTCAATAGAGCTTCCAGACTAAGAACAGACTACAAAGAAGGAATAGGCTGTCCAACTTGAGCAATTAGCCACTGAAAATCTTGTGAAGAGCAGCGAAACATTGTCAGATGTTGAAAGTTAGTGCCAGAAGATGAGCCTTTCCGGTCCAAAGGCAAATAGAACTCAGGAAGAGCTGCCTTCTTGAAATAGGGTAGATCATAATGTCATGGGTGGAGTAAAGCTTTAGGGACCTCCATTTGATGATGAGGCACAATTGAAAATTAAAAGAAACAGTGGCAAACATCTATTAATAATTGGAACTTGGAACATGTGAAATATGAATCCAGGAAAAGTGGAAATTGTCAAAATTAAATGGAACACATAAAAACCAATATCCTAGACATTACTATGCCATGAATGGCAAGTTACAGAGGAATGGCATCACATTTCTGGTCAAATATGACATATCAAGCTCTATCTTAAAGTGCGATACTGTCTGTGATAGGGTAATATCTATCCACATGCAAGGAAATCCCAGTCAATACAATTATTATTCAAATATGTGTACTAACCCCTACAGCTGTTATTTTTAAGTGCTTATGATTCCATTTCAGCTTATAGTGACCCTATGTACAACAGAATGAAATGCTACCTAGCTCTGCCCCACCCTCAATACCCCTACCAATTATTCTTATCATTGTTGCACCACTGTGTCCATGTATCTTTTCATAGTGGCTGCACCAATGGGCTCAAACATCAAAACAAAACAAACACGTGCTGCCATGGTGTCAATGCTGACTCATAGCAATGCTACAGGACAGGGTAGGACTATCCCTGTGGGTTTCCAGGCCCGTCACTCTTTGTGGAGCAGAGAGCCTCGCCGTCCTCTCTTGGAGCTGCTGGTACCCTCCAGCTGCTGACAGTGCAGTTAGCAGCCCCACTCATAACCACTATGCCACCAGGGCTCCTTGAGTGCAAGCACAGGAACTAAAAGTTGAAAATTCCTACCAACATCTTCAGTCTGAAATTAATCAAGCATGCAATGAAGTTGTATTGATAATTATTGGTGATTGGAATGCAAAAATTGGAAACAAAGAGGAAGAAGTATTAGTTGGAAAACGTGACCTTGGTGATAGAATTAAAGCTGAGATCACATGACAGAATGCTGAAAGACCAAGGACTTCATCACAAATACCCTTTTTAACCGCATACATGGTGTCTATACACGTAGGCTTCTCCAGATGTAACACATATTGAAATAATATTGACTACATCCACGGGAAGAGACATGAAGAAACTCAATTGTTGAATGGAAAACCAATTTGCTCTGTATACTTTCACTCAAATGATAATAAAACATTAAATAAATATAGGTAGAAATGAAAATCTTAATTTAAAATGGAATTTTAATTTAGGTCTGAAGCCAACTGATTCACATATCCCAGCACCTCGATGTTTCTAGGGTCCACTGCCATACAGCAAGTCCATAACCCGTGCTCTTGTTTTCCTGAGATCAAATGCACACTGGTAGGACTAGGTGACTGATGCCAGCCAGTCATCCTCTTTGGCTTTTCAAAGGGCACCGTCTCGGGATTCATGAAGCAGCATTGCTGAGGAGGCCAGGCCGCTGGAAGGAAATAAAACCTGTTCTCCATGTTGCTGTTTGTTCCAAAAATGGCTGGTTTCCTCTGGATTTAGCATATAAAGTTGGTGCCATGTTTTTGAATGTGTTTAATAATCATTCTAAGTTATGTTAAAGCACATTTTTTCAATCTTTTTAATCTTGAATAAATATGTAGTTTGTGACTAAAAACGCTTCAGATGATATGAAAGTAAGTTTCTGATATCAATAGTAGTATCTTGTGTAATTTGTTCAGATCTATCGATCTTAGATAAACATAATTGTGTGGAGGCTTTAATTTTTGGTGGCATGGTGCAAGAAGATGAATGATAGAGAAAAAATGAGAAAATGAAACATTACCACAGAGTTTACACAATGTTCATGGTCAATGTGCTCGTTTGGCATGTTGAATTGTGCTGAAGCGCTCGCTCTACCGATGAAGCCCTGAAGGGTGAGCGGAAGTAGGGAATCTGCAATCTTAGACCTGAGCTAGCTTTTGATGGGGACCTACAACTCCTTAGGTGGTTGACTACTTTCATTACGATGACATTTTAAACTGTAAACATTACCTTCAGGTCATTTGCCTTTGTGTCCTTTTAAATGCTAACCTGTTTCATAGAGATAGCTCTTAGATTTGAACTTGGTATGAGATCTGCAGTGAGGTAATTTACCTCAAACATTGTAATGCACACTTGTTTTTCAATGTAAGACCTGTGTTTTCCCACTTTCAGGTCCTTTATTCAATGCAAATTATTACCTAAATTTTTACCAAAAAATTTGGAAGAGCTGGCGGCAGACCCTCTCCCAAAGAAGATGAAAGCCTCTGTGGTGAGACACTTTCCTTTTTAACCGAGTGTGTGAGAGGTGTCAGTCTATGCAACTTGGAACCTGTTAGCAGCCAGATTGGCCTGAGTGGAGGAGAAAGGGCCTGGTCTGGGTGTGCTGGGCTGTGGAATTGCCAGGTGCGGGCAGTATCCTGAATGCAATGCTCAATATATGTGCCATGGTCACTGGGTGGTAGGTTTGCAGAAGTTTGCTTGGAGAATCATCTGTATCATGTTCAAGTAAGTATACCCATTGCTGGAACAGACAGCAGATAGGCACTACACCTGGATACAAGTTTATGCAATCAATGAACTGCACTCCTGAGAGGCTGCACACACAGTTCATCTTTTACATCTCTTGCCTAAGCCTCCAAGCCTTTTTTCAGGGTATTTGGTGCCAGGATTACACCCACTCCGCTCTTAGTCAGACCTTTGGGCTTTGGGCTAGGGTATCAGAGGAGGGCACAACTACACTGGTTGAAGAAAATGAAACCAAAACAAAGTAGCTAAAGAATGAGGGAAGACAATGTAAAGTGATGCTTCTTTGCTGGTTCACGGGGGAAATATCTCAGAGGGAACTCAAACATTCTTTAAGCAGGTGTGGCGTCAATAATGTTTAACTTCCCAACATTGATGCTTTGAAAAGCCATGCTCATTCATTTGATGACTGTGGAGTTTGGGCCAGTCTAATTTCTCTGAGTCATGCTGTTCATGTATCTTGTAGGAATGGAGAGTAAAGAAAAAGTAGTTAATGGTTGATTGATTTCTAGCGCTTCCCTTCAGGCACCGTGCCTCATTTATCTTGGTATCTACCATGCCTGATTCATCGTAAGTGCACAACGCTTTCAGTTGGATTTAGATTAATTAAATTATAATCTGAAATTTCAAGACAACAATCACTAACTTGATAACATATATATATTCAACCCTGTGTGTTTTTGAGTGTGGTCACAATTCAAGCTAAAACATTCAGGGTGTTTTTTTCCCCATGTGATAGGGAACTACAAGATGAAATGTTTAGAATGAATAAAGGATGGTTCATGAATTTTAAAAGCCAAAATGCATTGCAAAGCAGGGTACTAGGTGAATCTGTTAGAGCTGATGAGATGACAGCTGGGACAGTCACACATGAAATCAACAGCCTGATCTCTTATATGTATACCAGGAGTCTGACATGGAGAAAATCAACATGTCACTTCTAGATTCTTCTCTACAAAAGCTATCCTTTGACCCCAAATCCACCTTATAGTTTTCTCATAGATAGCTGAGTAAAACTATCCTTTTTAAGCCTTCCAAGATTTTATGACCTATGAAGACGTCTTGACACTTTCTGGCTTATTCCAGTGGAAATAATGTATGAATTACAAAGACAATAAATTTGTATGTGGACTCTGATAGCACTTCATTAATATCATTAGATGCGATGGATTATGCATTGCCTTACTTGATATTCATACACTTTGCAATGCTGTGTACACATAACTTGTAGGTGATTGAATACAATGTTTGTCTTCTATTCTCTGAAATGTCTCCTGGTCTAATTATAATATTTTAATGGAAATATCAGATTCTGCTTTTCATCAATTTGATTTATATTACCTTTGCTCAAGTGCAAGTATAAAATATTCCTCTCAGCAGTTTCTGATTTTGTTCTGCTATGTCTCGCAACCACTTTATTTTCTGTGCCCTTCTGTCTCATGTTTCTTAAATTTAGAGAAACCTCTAGGGAATCTCTTTAGATTGTAGGCTTCCAGTCCATCTTTTGCTTCCCCTCTTTGTGACTCGTGATTTGTCTGGCCTGTGGTGCATAACCTAGATTCTTCTCCAGGTGATACACACACTACACTCTCAGAAAAATTAATCTAGAAATAGAAACTAGAGCTCTATCAAGGGATCATTTAATTCCAAGATGAGCAAGTTAACTTATTAACATGAAGATCATTACCAAAATCCAACGTTGAATAAAAGTAAACACTTTTTGCTAGTGTTTTGCCTGGTCAGTCGTCTTTCTTATGCCTAGGAGCATTGCCTTCCAGTTTATGTCCCTACTGATCACCAGCACTGTTGAGTCTTTTATCACGTTAAAAGCTGCTACTTCATTGTAGCCATTGCTCTCAGTCAGTTTCTAGTGACAAAAACAAAACAAAGCAAACATAGAAACAAGCAAACAAAAATCCCACCTAATTTTTATCTGGAAAATTCAAACAGCTCCTTTTATGACAGTTGGATGTAGTAGTCATATTTTCCTGGCCCTGGCAGTCTAACTCTGCTTGCTGGCTATGTAATGATGAATCAGGGCTTCCCTTGAGGGCTAGAGTGGTCAGTCCTAAATAAAATGTCACAATCCATTTAATAAGTTCAAAGTGCTATCGGCTATTATTTTATTTATCCTTTTATGTATGGGCTTACATTAAGGTAGGAAAACAATATTATTGAATATTCTTATAGGCATTTTGGCCAATATAAGGCTTGAAAAGGAATATATGTATATATTACATATAAAATTTACAAGAGCTGATGAAAATCAACTGATTAATAAGGGGATTCTCAAAATACCAACAAAAATAAAAGCAGCAATGACAAAAAATTCGAGAACCGAGTGTGTGTTTAAACATCTTACTGCCACAAAACTCCTGGAATTCTTAATGCAGTTTAAGGTGGTCTTGTACTGAACCTGAGCCATGGCAGAAGCAAATTCAAATCCACTCATGAGGAACAAAGTTTCATCCTTGACCTCCAATTGCTTTCAAATTTTCTAAGGAAAACGAGAAGCTTACAATAAAAATTTGAAGCATACACAAGAAAATAAGATATTAACAGAAACAACTGGAAAGTAATGGCAGAAACAGCTGTGCAAATACTTCAGCTATTGAAACTATTAGACACAGGTTTTTAGACATCAGTCAGAACTGACTTGATGGCAGTGAGTTTGTTGTTTTTAGGTATATACTTACGAGGCTTCAGGAAGTAATTGATAGTTTTAAATGATATTTAAATCTACCAGATTCAAAAGATAACCAAATAGAACTTCCTAAAAACTAACCAACCATCTAATCTAAACCAACCAGCGAACCAACAACCGAATGAAGCAAATGAAGTAAAACAAAGCGAATGCCCTCATGGGAGCACACATGGGCGCTCAGACACCCCTAAAGAGAATGAGTGCACCGAGAGACAATAGAGAAGGGGAAACATCCAGACTGCAACCCCCCCAAATAAACAATAAATAATCTTCAGGACTTGAAGAAGAGAAGGAGGAGCTCTACTATATAGCTCATCAGAATTCCATAAATAGAGGGAGAGGCTGGACTGTAATACATAGTTTGTGATATGAGCATCTGAGGATCTTCTAGAATTCATGAAAGACACTCATCTACATATTAAAGAATCCCAGTGAATCACAAACAAGGTTTTAAAAAAATCAGACACACATGATGTATTACATGAAACTGTAATACATCAAAGACACATACAATCTTAAAAGAGTTCAACAAAAGTAACAGATTGCACTCAAAGGAATGACCAAGGGAGCTCACTTATCTGAAGTAATAATGGAAGCCAGAGACAGCTGTTTGATATAATTAGTGTTTTGTAAAGAGAAACTTCCAGCTTAGAATTCTACACCCAGTGAAAATGTTAAAGAATGAGGGGGAAAAAATATGACACACAAAGACGGAGATAATGTCCACCAAATGTAATTCTCAAGGATTCTTTCAAGAGAAAGTGATACTAGATGGAATGCCTGAATTTGAAGAAGAAACAGAGAAAATAACATTACAAATACATTGGTAAATCTAAACACAAACATAACTGAAAAAAAATAAAACAATACTGTATGATTAGATTTCAAGTGGAAGTTACTCTTTCCCATCTTGCCAGTTAATCATTGATTTATTAAACAATAGAAACTTTTGCTAGAGGGCTTAAGGTAACTATTAAAGGTATAGAAACAGTAAAGAACTTCCAATTCTACACACAGAGAAAAACGGAATGATAAAAGGTAGAAATTATTTGCAAGGAACAAAATTAAAATGAACTTTGAAGCACATTACAGGTAGTTCCAGACAAAATGATTGGGTTTCTTTCTGACAACTCTATTGTAAATTGGTTTGGAGATATATGTTGAATACCTCTTTTTAAAAAAAAATAATTTTCACAGCAGTGTTTTGAGCAATACATTAGCATTGAACATCTGCGAGTGAACAGCTGCAAATATAACATTAGCAAATTACTGGATTCAACACTGTAGTCATTACATAGTTGTAATGATGACAAGAACAAAAGTCAGTCTTAAGTGCAGCTTATTGTATCTCAAATGTATCATAAATCAGGGGTTACCAGGTGAATTTTAAATCTAAATATAAGAGGGCCGAACTGGAGAGCACTTAGAATCAAAGCAAATGTCTTTCTGCTGTGAGAAAGTGAAATAACATTTAAACAACACGTAGAATTAAAATGTATTAAAAATGTTACCTTTGCTTTATTGTTCTTGATGCTATTAACTGCTATGCATTTGGCCCAGACTCAGGGCAACTCCCTGCACAATGATGCCAATCACTGGTCCTGTGCCATTCGCATAATAGGTGGTGGTTGTGATCTGTACATTTTCATTGGCATCAGTTCAGAAATAGAAAAGCAAACCTTTCTTCACAGTTTGTCTCAGTCTGAAAGCTCCTCTGAAATGTGTTGGTTTTGCTCATTTTCAATCTGCTAAAATTGCGTTATACTCTATGTATTATTTAAATGTGTGTATCCAACCCAACACTCAACACAGATGGGTGGTGGTTACGCATGGTGCTTGACCAAGCATTGAACCCAGGTTTTCTGCATAACAAACATTCTACCACTGACCCACCAATGTCCTACACATATCTGACAGGCTAGCTACTCTGCTCCTAGGTATTTACCTTGGAGAAAGTGTTTCATATTTTCACCAGAATATATGTACGGGGATGTTCATGATAGCATTTATTCACAAGAGCTAGAAACGGGAGCCATTGGGAA